GGATTCTTTTTCACCTCTCTCACTATCCTCCTGGCCAGCACAGGTGTCACTTTTGGCTTCCGACCACGTCCTCTGAGATTTCCCACAGTGCGGAACGTCTTGTATTTTTTAATAATACTTTGCACTGTAGCCACTGGAACTTGAAAACATTTAGATATGGCCTTATAGCCCTTTCCTGACTTGTGAGCAGCCACAATGCGCAGCCGCAGGTCCTCAGTGAGCTCCTTTGTCTTAGCCATGACTGTCCACAAACCAACTGCAGAGAGCTGCTGCCTTTGGCATTTAAAACAGGCTGCTTTCCCAATGAATTCAGGGTCATTAGGGATGCTTTTAAGCGAAACAGCCGCGCGGGTGGAATGGTAAATAAGAACTTTGGCTTCATAAACAAAGGGATGCCTTCTTGATACATTCTTCTTATTAAATCTTCTGGGAGGACGCGCCTGTGTGCATTTTTCCGTTCAAAAAAAAAGAAAACTTAAAAAGGTTACTTTTTATTCAAAACACTAAGGTTCAAAAATGTTTGGCCAGGTTGATGAATAATTTTGGTTTAACTATGAAATATTTATATTACAGGACAACATATTGTTGACCAGCCCACGAGAAAAACCAAGCAAACAAAGTTCCCGAGGGAGGCATTTTTGAGTTATTTACAGCATTCTGAAAGTGTGACTTTCCTAAGCTTTCCAATGATGCTCTAACCACATCTGATAAAACATTTGAAAGGGAAAATGTGCCAAATTTGAATGTATTGCACATCTTCAAAACCCTTTTTTAGGGGGAAGGAAAACAGCCCGAGAACATTTGAAAAACTCTCACCTCAAGGAAAATCTTTACCCCCTCCCTAGTCAAAACCCAATTTGGTTGCTCATTTGGCATCTCATAAAGATGAAGCCCCCCCCCCCCCCCCCCGCCCTGCACTCAGTGACAAGTACTCTGTCAGCCTGCAGGCAGACAGTATTGTAGGTGTTTGAACAATGGTTATCAGTGTATCATGTAGCTTAATGTTGAGTAGGTGCTATTTCCTTAAAGCCACTGAAGTGCGGACTGGGATCAGAATCAGGAAGGTACTTTATTTGCAAATGCGAAAGCTTTTATACAAAAAGGGCCTAAATATCATTCATTCAAAGTCAGGTTCAAGGCTGTGCCTACAGGCACCCTTGCGCACCGCACTCTGGAATGTATTCATCCAAGACTGTTTTCCTCAAAGTAGCTAAGCTGCTAAAGCATTAGCATCACAGGTCAGTTCAAGCATTATTCAAATTAATACCAGCATGCTCACATACTAGCCAAACCCCTCCCCCATTACAGCTTAGCTTTCGATGTGCCCATTCC